CAAGGCAAGGCAGGCAGGTACGTGGGGTAGCGCGGTAACCGCAGCGGTAGGTGGGCCCGAAAAAAACGGTCCTACGGACCTTAGTGCTCTGAAACCATGTCAAAATCTAGCAGCAGGAATGAATGAACTAACAGGATGCAGGAGTACAAGTAGTAAACCCTAATTGGGTTGTACCCTATATGGGCTACCCCACTACAGCCTAAACAATATGCAGCACATATAGTTTGACAAATACACATCACGTGCTATTGTAAGATAGGAAATACTCGTTATGGAGTGCAGGCGTCAAAGTAGGGTTATCCTTCAAAACCATCCATAGAGCGATTAGGATCACTTGAAATATTTGCAAGTACTCATGTCAAGACTTATTTGCAAGTATACAAAACCATCCATAGAGCGATTAGGATCACTGTATACAGCTTATGCTGTTGAACAAGTCATACGGTAATTAAGTCACAAAAACGTCTCTTCCGGGTTTGTGCGCACTGGAAGGTAAAATTGTTAAGTTTTGTTATATACCCTGCTTGCTGTGTGTTCTAGTGTAGCTACAGTGGTGGTGCACCAATGTGCTCACCTTTCTTTGCTATATCTTGTAACCTTGCTGTAGTGAACCTCACCTTCCTGTTTCTCTCGCTCACGCTACCCCAAACCCTAAGGCTACTATTCTAACATGGTACAGAGCAGGTTCTTTCCCGGAACCTTCCCTTTTTTTAAAGAATTATGGGCCCGCCCGTACAACAGCGCGAAATGCGCTATTTTCTTCGTCCCGTCGCGCTCTTCGTCCTGTCTGATTCGTCGCCCCGCGGCCCCCCATTTCGTCGCCCCGCGGCCCCTGATTCGTCGCCCCGCGGCCCCCCATTTCGTCGCCCCGCGGCCCCCGATTCGTCGCCCCGCGGCCCCCCCGTTTCGTCGCCCCGCGGCCCCCCCTCGTTTCGTCGCCCCGCGGCCACCCGTTTCGACGCGCCGGGGCCCCCCGTTTCGTCGCCGCGGACGCCAGCGCCGGCGGGCGCCAGCACCTGCATGGACGCCAGCGCCCGCGCCAGCCCGGACCGCAGGCGCCAGCGCGAGCGTGGCCCGTCAGCGCGGACGCCACCACCGCGGCCAGCCGCTCGCGCCTGCGCACCAGCCAGCGCCACCGCCAGCGCCAGCAGCAGCTACCGCCCCGCCCCCCCCCCGCCCGCCCTCCCTTCCGCTGCTTCCGTCGTGGGGAGGGAGGAGGGGGAGATGTGTGGGTGGCGTGTGTGAGCTGCCTGCAGCCCGTCCCTCCCCTCTCTCTTACTGCAGGGATTGTCGCCGTAAAGAAGGGGGGGGGGGGGGGAGAGAAGTGCAGAAGGTGAGGGGGTGGTGATAGTGAAGTTGACTGGAGTGTGAGGGTGAGCATTGGGGGGATGGCAGATTCATGGAGTGAGGTTAAAGGGGGGTGGTTGAGTTGAGTTGAGTTCTGAAGGTTCTTAAGAGGGTCCGCCGCTCCTGGCCCCCCACCTTCTGAAGGTTCTTAAGAGGGTCCGCCGCTCCTGGCCCCCCACCTTCTCTCCTTTTCCCTCACTCCTCCCCAACCCCCCTTTGTAAACGGAGGTTCGTAAGCGGGTCCGCCGGTCCTGGCCCCCCACCTCCTCTCCTCATCCCTCTCTCTCTTCCCTCCTCTCCTCTCCTCTCCTCTCCTCTCACCTCCTCCTCCTTCCTAACCTCTCTACCCTCTTCCGCTGCGCCACGTGTACCTGTACTAGTTATCACGGCAAGCAGGTTAAGGGGGTGTGTTAAGTTTTGTTATATACCCTGCTTGCTGTGTGTTCTAGTGTAGCTACAGTGGTGGTGCACCAATGTGCTCACCTTTCTTTGCTATATCTTGTAACCTTGCTGTAGTGAACCTCACCTTCCTGTTTCTCTCGCTCACGCTACCCCAAACCCTAAGGCTACTATTCTAACAAAAATGTACGTTTGCCTAAAATTTTGACAGCCAATATACATGCGTAACTGCACCTAGAATATATTACAAGAGTGCACAGGGCTAGCAAACTCAAGTAGCTACTGGAAACGTTTCTGTTCTGTGCTTCCACAGATAAATATCACCCTGTGCTTGCTTCTTTGTCGCCAACAGCTTCAAGACCTCCAAAGAGGTCTTGCTGCTGCCTTGGTGGTGCTGCCAGCGTTCCTCCTCCCTCCGCACTTCACAGCATGCTCTTTCTCCTGCTGCAGCCTCATGCTGCTTGCTGTGGGCTTCTGGTGGGCTAGAGCACCCCCACGTGCATTCCATGCCTTCCCCTCCACACCATCCACCTTCACACACGCTCCTGTGCTGCCTGCCTTGGGAATCCACCAGGGCAGCACCACTCTCAGCAGCGGCAGCAGCAGTGACGCGAGCAGCAAGTGCAGCTGCAGCAACAACAGCAGCGAGTGCAGCAGCAGCACAAGGGAGGCTGGCATTGCGATGGGGCTCGCGTCACCACTGCACATCCTCACGTGCTTCTCACAAATCCTCTCCTTGTTGTCATCGTTGCCAATGCTCGTTTGGTTGCAGTCACTCCGCGAATCTTCTGCCTCCGCTTCCGTCTCCTCCTCCTCTGCAGCAGGCGCGGAGCTCAGCGTCACTTGCAGCTGGGTCGATTCACAAGTCGAGATCTCCTCGGGAATTGCCTGGAAGCCCGACTCCGAAGGCGACTCAATAGCGGACTCCACAGTGGATTCAACTTCAAGAGTTGGCTCACAAGGCACCTCGCATGCAGTCGCGCAGCTCAGCGTCACTTCAACTTGCACGCGGGACGGCTTAACCGCTTCGCGGCTCCTCCAGGCGCGCAGCGCTTCCGCGAACGACGGGTACTCAGCGGACGACGAGGTGCATGCACGCACGGACGCGACGGCCATCCGAGGAAGAACGCTAAGCAGAGGATACCGACGGGCCTGACGAAGTGTGAGGCCGAAACCGAGCAGCGGAATTAGCAAGGACGAACCTTGAAAATACACTGGTTGCTGCTGCAGCCTCGGGTGCAAAGCTAGAAGAGCTGAACGAAATTGAACGCTTAGGATGTTTTGATCTGGCAAGGATAGCAATGCTGCAGCTGTGGGAGCTGGCTCGAGAGAAACGAGATTGTACGAAACTGGCGATCAAGGTCAGCTGGAGAGTTTAAACCGAAGAAGAGAGAGCGACGAATGAGGGTGAGTAGAGGGAGTGCGGATTTGAACTCGCAGAGGCGATCGCAGGCGACGAGGGGAGAGCGAGAGGGTTGCTGCGACAAGGCGGGGTGGAGGAGAAGCGACGCACTGGGAACTCACGCAGCGGGCAGGAAAGGGCAGAACGAATCTGTGCGCTGTCGGTGTGCGGAATGGCTTGGGAACGAAGCTATCTCCGAGGCAGTGCCAAGTCTCTAGCCGAGGCCTCCGGAGGTGTAACAGATCGGTTCATTCCGGTTGCTTGCCTTGACCAGACGGTGACACTCTTACGTTCGGGACAAACCTGCTGGCTAAGCGATTATGCAGGAAGGAGTTGCTGAACTCACGCAGCGGGTAGAAACGAATCCGTGCGCTGTCGGTGTGCGGACTAGCTTGGGGTTTCGCGGAACGCCAAGGGGAACGAAGCTATTTCCGAAGCTATCTGGCCGTGGCCTCCGGAACATGACAGAGCGGTGCAGTCCGGCGGCTTGCCTTTAGCTAATGGTGTGGATGGTCCATTTTGGCCAAACCTGCTGGCTAGGCGATTTCGCCGGAAGATGCTGCGACGCGAAAGGTTTGTCATTCCTGCTCCCGCTGCCCGTGACGGTCTGCGTGTGCAAAGGCGGAGGCGGCTTTGGGACTCATGAGGGCACTAGACGAATGCCAAACGCATCAATGGACAGACGCCGCGACAGATTCGCGTCTGGTAACTCTACGTGGGTCATCTGCTTCTGCGGGAAGCGACTGCCAGGAAATCATTCTAAAGCGACTTCGATGGCAGTGTCTAGGGATATCGAGGTGGGATAGCGACTTCATGGCGGATGAACTCGTGGGAGAACATGAATCTTTACTCTCTTTAGTAAGCCTCTCTATAACATTCGTGAAAATAAACATCTGAATGTGAACCGCACCAAGAACATCTTTGCATCTCATTTCACTCAAGGTGGAACAACTTTGTACCATGCTGGAAATTCTAATCATAAGTTGGCTCAGAACCGTCAAGCCGTTCCTTTTGTATATAGTAGTCTGGTAGTACCACCAATCATCTATTAAAGCTACTTTGTCCCAGGCAGCATTTGACCACTAAACCTACATGTTTGCCTTCACAAGCAGCTGACAGGAGCAGCACCACAAAGTCTAACTCTCATGGCTATAAGCATTGTCCAATCACCTTTCTCCTCCTGTTCCCTCACCCGCGGAGCTCATATCAGAAGGCAGCAGCAGCATCGGCCCGTTGCTTGATGAGGTCTGCTCGTTGGCTCTTCCTCATTGCCTCCACCAGCCACGTCACTCCCTCCCTCACCCCCGTGCTGCTCACACAAAGCCATGCACACACACAAAGCCATGCACAGATGTAGCAGATGCACAGTCAGACACACTCCCCTCTCCCTCACACAAACACAGACACACACGAGCAGACACACAGAGGCACACATAAACTTTCAGCGAAGTCACTGAGTAGTGCCAGAGCAGTCAAGAAACACCCCACCATGGTAGCCATTAACACGACGACTCAACCATTTATCAGACTGCATCAGCACGTGATTCAAGATGTACCATCACCGGGAACTCACTGGGAACTCACTGGGAACTCACTGGGAACTCACTGGGAACTCACTGGGAACTCACAGCGCAAAAATTACCAGTTTGGGCTCCCCACCTCCCTGGTATCCCTTTGTAACAACCACTTGCATTGCCCAAACACACTCTCATCTGTTCCCACACCCTCAACTCTTCCCCCACCCACACCTCGCTCACACATCACACACTCAACTGTTATCACACCCCAGCCCTTGGACACCCTCAGCATTGCCCCCCCTCCCTCCCCCTCTTCCCCCCCCCCCACACCTCACCCATCATGGGCGCACACGGGCATGACCATGGCGGAGCGCCCCTTGAGGTCCCTCAGCTCCAGGCAGTGAGTCAAGTCCTCCTCGCCCACTGCCCAGGGCAGGTCCTGTGGGCCGGCGGTCACAGGGGCGTGGGTGGTGGGACATGCGCAGACAGGTGCCGATGAGATTCAAGTCCTCCTCACCCACTGCACAGGAGAGGCAAGTGGGAGCCGGCCGGGGATGGGAGAGGGAGGTGGGCGAGGGAGGTGGGAGAGGGATGTGGGAGAGAGAGGCATAAGGGAGTAGGGATGTGTGTGGGGGTTGAGGCAGGGAGGTGAGACATGGACGTGTGAAAGGATGTGCAGCTGGTGGTGATGAGATTTTCCAGGCATCTGAAGGTAACTGCTCCAGGCAGTGAGTCAAGTCCTCCTCGCCCACTGCCCAGGGCAGGTCCTGTGGGGTGGCGGTCACAGGCAGGTGGGAGGGGGACGTGTGTGTTAGAAGCGTGCAGACAGGTGGCAGCATGCAGAGGTGTCAGCTCCAGGCAGTGAGTCAAGCCCTCCTCGCCCATTGCCACTAGAGCCCTGTGGGGCACGCACTGGGTCAACTCCCCAGCAACTCCCCACCAACTCCCCACCAACTCCCCAGCGACTCCCCACCAACTCCCCACCAACTCCCCACCAACTCCCCACCAACTCCCCACCAACTCACCAGCAACTCCCCACCAACTCCCCACCAACTCACCAGCAACTCCCCACCAACTCCCCACCAACTCCCCACCAACTCCCCACCAACTCCCCACCAACTCCCCACCAACTCCCCACCAACTCACCAGCAACTCCCCACCAACTCCCCACAAACTCCCCAGCAACTCCCTACCAACTCCCCACCAACTCCCCACCAACTCCCCACCAACTCCCCACCAACTCCCCACCAACTCCCCACCAACTCCCCACCAACTCCCCACCAACTCCCCACCAACTCCCCAGCAGACAAGCACCCACCGAGCGGCGTGGAATCTGTGGGGGCAGGCAGCGTCCACCACGCAGATCACCTCCCCTGCAGAGCAGCGCAGCCCTCTCGTGGACGCGCAGCCCTCTGCATGGACGCGCGGGGGGAGGGCAGGGGTAGGGATGATGGAGGGAAGGGGAAGGGATGAGGGAGGGGAGGGGAAGGGACAGGGGAGGGGAGGGGAAGGGACAGGGGAGGTGAGGGGAAGGGACAGGGGAGGTGAGGGGAAGGGACAGGGGAGGGAAGGGAAAGGGACAGGGGTGGGAAGGGGAAGGGATGGGGGAGGGGAGGGGAAGGGATGGGGGAGGGGAGGGGAAGGGATGAGGGAGGGGAGGGGAAGGACTTGGGGGTTGGGAAGCAGAAGACGGACGAGGAAGGAGTTGGACGGACGGAGGCGGAGCAGGGGGGGAAGGGGAGGGAATGGAGTTGAATCTGCGCAGCACGCGAACAGAGCTCCCTCAAACCTAACGATTGCAGAACGCAAAAAATAATAATAATAATTCTTTCGGTGGCAAAATGCAACGCGCTGAACCCCAGAAGGTGCAGAAAGAAATCGTTAAAATACAGAGGCAAAATACAACGCGCTGAACCCCATCACATGTGCAGAAGAGAATCCTTACCCTGTCTATGCGACGTGGGAACCATCCTCGACCCTCTGAAGGTCCTCGCGCAGCTTCCGCTTTCCAGTTCTTAACGAACCAACTCGGAACGCCATGGCGAAGAGAGAAGTTGCTTCGTAAAGCTTTCGAGCTAATGAATAATTTTGCTCCCCATAACCTGTCGCTTCCAGTTCTTAACGAACCAGCTCCGAACGCCATGGCGAAGAGATAAGTTGCTTCGTAAAGCTTTCGAGCCAATGGCTAATTTTGCTCCCCATAACCTGTCGCTTCCAGTTCTTAACGAACCACCCCGAACGCCATGGCGAAGAGATTAGTTGCTTCGTAAAGCTTCCGAGCTAATGGCTAATGTTGCTCCCCATAACCTGTCGCTTCATGTGTTGCAACGCGTCACGCGCCATGGGAGATATGAGAAAAAATACTCGTTATTGAGGTAAATGTAGAGTGAACAATCAACACCATCCATACAGCGATTAGGGTCAATAGAAATATTTGCAAGTATGCATCTCAAGACTTATTCATACTTTATTCAGCTTATGCTGTTGAACTAAGCATACAGTAATGAAGTCACAAGAGAATGTACATTTGTGCGCACTGGAAGGTACAATGTACGTTTGCCTATGAATTTGACAGCCAATATATTGCACCTAGAATATATTACAAGAGTGCACAGAGCTAGAAATCTAAGACACACAGACTCTAGTGGCTACTGGAGACGTTTCTGTTCTGTGCTTCCACAGATAAATATCACCCTGTGCTTGCTTCTGTGGTGCCAACAGCTTCAAGACCTCTAAGAAAGTCTTGCTGCTGCCTTTGTGGTGCTGCCAGCGTTCCTCCTCCCTCTGCACTTCACAGCGTGCTCTCTCTCCTGCTGCTGCCTCATGCTGCTTGCTGTGGGCTTCTGGTGGGCTAGAGCACCCCCACGTGCATTCCATGCCTTCCCCTCCACACCATCCACCTTCACACGCGCTCCTGTGCTGCCTGCCTTGGGAATCCACCAGGGCAGCACCACTCTCAGCAGCGGCAGCAGCAGTGACGCGAGCAGCAAGTGCAGCTGCAGCAACAACAGCAGCGAGTGCAGCAGCAGCACAAGGGAGGCTGGCATTGCGATGGGGCTGGCGTCACCACCGTCCATCCTCACGTGCTTCTCACAACTCGTGTCGTTGCTTCTGACAGAAAAGCTACCAAAAATCGTCTCCTTGCTGTCGTTGCTGCCAGCGCTCGTTTGGTCGCAGTCACTCTTCAGATCCTCCTCCGTCTCCTCCTCCTCCGCAGCAGGCGCGGAGCTCAGCGTCACTTGCAGCTGGGTCGATTCACAAGTCAAGATCTCCTTGTCAAACATATATGCTACATATTGTCTAGGCTGTAGTGGGGTAGCCCATATGGGGTACAGCCCAATTAGGGTTTACTACTTGTACTCCTGCATGCCACTAGTTCACACATGTCAAACTATATGTGCTGCATATTGTCTAGGCTGTAGTGGGGTAGCCCATATGGGGTACAACCTAGTTAGGGTTTACTACTTGTACTCCTGCATCCTGTTAGTTCATCCATTCCTGCTGCTAGATTCTAACATGGTTTCAGAGCACTAAGGTCCGTAGGACCGTTTTTTTTCGGGCCCACCTACCGCTGCGGTTACCGCGCTACCCCACGTAGCCTTGCCTTGCCTTGTATGCCTTGCCTTGCCTTGCCTTGCCTGCGCGCTTCCCCTAGAGGCCCGTAAGGCCCGCGCGCCGCCTCTACACGCCTGTCGGGCCCGCACACACGCTGCTACCGCGCGCTGCCCGCACCGAGATCGCGCAGCCCGCCCCGAGTCGCGCGCAGCCCGCTGCAGCCACGCGCAGCCCGCACCGAGCCGCGCGCAGCCCGCTGCAGCCGCGCGCAGCCTGCACCGAGCCGCGCACAGCCCGCTGCAACCGCGCGCAGCCCGCACCGAGCCGCGCGCAGCTCGCAGCTGCCGCGCGCAGCCCGCGCCGAGCCCGCGCAGCCCGCGTCGAGCCGCGCGCGGCCTGCTACGGCCTCGCGCAGCCCGCGCGCGGCCCGCAGCAGCTCGTGCCGAGCCGCGCGAGGCCTGCTCCTGCCTCGCACGGCCCGCGCGCGGCCCGCAACAGCCCGCGCCGAGCCGCGCGCGGCCCGCTACTCCCTAGCGCGGCCGCGCGCGGCCCTTTGCCTCGGCCCCGACCTGCCGCTGATGCGGCCCCGCCCAGCAGCTGCCATGGCCCCGACCTGCCGCTGATGCGGCCCCGCCCTGCAGCTGCCACGACCCCGACCTGCCGCTGACGCGGCCCCACCCTGCTACTGCCGCTGACGCGGCAGCGCCCTCCAGCTGTTTCGGCCCTGCTCTGCAGCCGGTTTTGCGGCCCCGACGTCGCCGCTGTCGTGCGCCTACTCGAGCGCCGGCCCTGCTCTCCCAGCCTTTGGTGAGCGCCTGCCTGCCTGCCTGACGGCCTGCCTGTCTGCCTGCCTGCCTGCCGGCCTGGCTGCCTGCCTGCCTGCCGGCCTGCCTGCCTGCCTGCCTGTCTGCCTGCGTGTCTACTTGCCTGCCTGCCTGCCTGCCTACCTGCCTGCCTGTCTGCCTGCCTGCCTGCCTGCCTGGCTGCCTGCCTACCTGCCGGCCTGCCTGCCTGCCTGCTTGCTTGCCTGCCTGCCGCGCCTGCCTTTCCTGCGCTACTGCTACTGGCAGGTGGCCAGATGCAGCTCCAGCGACATTCACGCGAGCCTCTGACGCCTCAGCAGCTTAGTGAGTGGTATACTAGCTGGGGTTGTCGCGGTAGCCGTCGTAGCTGTCGCCCTGGAGCTGGTCAGTTGGGAGCGTCTGGCAGTGGCCAGCTGCAGCTGCAGGGACGTCCACGTGAGACACTTACGCCCCGGCAGCTCCAGGAGTGGTACGCTCAGTGTAGCAGGTCTACGCGTACAGTCCGCTGCCCGTACGTCATTCGCACAGGTGCTAGGACTGGTCAGCCTTGTGGGACGCTTGGTCACACACAGTCCCGCTGCTTCGCCCGTCTGAGCGACGACTGGCGCACAGTGTTTGGCGACGAGGCTGAGCTCCCCACGTGGCTGGAGCTGCATAGACAGAGGGTAGATATCTTTGCGCTTGACTATGATGCTATTCTCACTGCCATGTATGCATTGTCTACTAGTGCTGACCGTGCCTGTTGCCTGTGCGTACCGCCTGACCCTGGTGAGGCTGCTGCCCTAGGTGCTAGTGCGTCTCCTGCTCTAGGTGCTGGTGAGGCTGCTGCTCTCGGTGCTAGTACGTCTACTGCTCTAGGTACTGGTGAGGCCGTGGCATCAGGTGCTGCTGTGTCTGCTCTCTCTGGTACTGCGCCCACTGCGGTCTCGCACACCTTCACCCTTGACTCAGGAGCTTCCCGCTCCTTCTTTCGCGACTGCACCGCACTTACGCCGCTCCGTCGGCCAGTCCCGGTCTCCCTGGCGGACCCCTCTGGGGGTCCAGTCCTTGCCCACTATTCCACGGTTCTGCCGTGTCCGGCCGTCCCGTCCGGCTCGCTGTCAGGTCTTTACCTCCCCTCGTTCTCTACGAACTTGGTGAGTGGAGCTGACCTCCAGGATGGGGGGGTTGACCAGTTCACTCCTGCGAGTCAGCGAGTGACTCACTGTACGTGTGCTCGGACGGGCCGGCACTTGGCCACGTTCACCCGTGCACCTGGCTCGAGTCTGTACACACTGACCACTGAGTCCCCTCAGGTAGCTGCGTCTGCGTTTGCGTCTGCGTCTGGTCAGCTGGCGGCCCCCTGCGAGTGTCGCGCTTTGTCGCACGACACTCTCCTGTGGCACCACCGCCTTGGTCACCCCTCCTTGCCTCGCCTGCGTAGCATGCACTCTCGCTCCCTGGTCTCTGGTCTTCCCAGGTCCCTGCCTGCCCTCCCTCCCTCGCCTGCGCCGCCCTGCATTCCTTGCGTCGAGGGGCGGCAGCGCGCCGCTCCTCACTCCTCCTCGTTTCCTCCCACAGAGGCTCCACTGCAGACGCTCCATCTGGACGTGTGGGGCCCAGCCCGCGTCCAGGGACAGGGCCGCGAGCGGTACTTCCTGCTGGTCGTCGACGACTACACGCGTTACACCACGGTCTTCCCCTTGCAGAGCAAGGGGGACGTCCCTGCTGTTTTGATCCCCTGGATCCGCGCTGTTCGTCTCCAGCTCCGCGAGCGGTTCCGGTCGGACTTTCCTGTCCTGCGTCTGCACTCTGACAGAGGTGGTGAGTTCTCCTCCGACCTCTTGGCAGCCTACTGTGCGGAGCACGGCATCACCCAGTCGTTCACGCTTCCGGCCTCTCCGCAGCAGAATGGGGTTGCTGAGCGCCGCATTGGCTTAGTCATGGAGGTCGCTCGTACCTCCATGATCCATGCGGCTGCCCCCCATTTTCTGTGGCCGTTTGCGGTCCGGTACGCCGCGCATCAGCTCAACCTCTGGCCCCGTGTCTCCTTGCCGGAGACCTCGCCCACACTG